CGTTTATGATGCTTTATGGGAAATATATTGTAAAGAAATTAAAATAAAACTGTTAAGAGTGACATTAAATTTCATATTTCTTAAGAAAGGTATCTAATTAATTTATAGGTACCTTTCTTATGAAATTTTATCAGAATTGTACATAAAATACTATAATTTTATGTACATTTATTACATTCTACTGTTATTTGTATTTGCATTCATTTTATTATTAATTTTGTTTTTTCATTTATGGAAAAATGTCGTAACTGAGATTAATATAAAAATAAGATCATATAAATTTCATAAGATGATACTGATACTTATAGGTACCCTTCTCAGTTGAAATTGAAAAATCAAATTAACTTCTCCACACGTGTATCGGTATCGCAAAAAGTAAAGGCCTTAACAGCGGAGAACAATGCTTAACTCAAATAACGCAACTTAATTATATTCTGTTGGTCTTCCGTATTTTATAATTACAGCTCGATTATAAGCACAAAATTACATTTCTTAATTACTGGGTATCTTCTGATTAGTCAAAATGATACAATTTACAACGCGCTAAAAAAAGATCTCTCATAAGGACACTTATGAAAGCCGATGCGGCTTTTTAACTAATTTTATAATATTTTAACAACTTAAATGTAAAATGTATTATAATTAATGAAATAACAAATAATTGTATTAAAAATTCATTTTTCATCGAAAAAATTTTTTTGCTTTCAGAAAATATTGTCTATATTCATAAAAAACAACTAAAAGCAAATAAAAAGCATTTGAAATTAAATAATATCTTTGTTTTATTGAGTTTTGTATGTTACAATTCAGAGCTGATTTTCAGGTACTGCGTATCCAATTAAAAAAAAAAAAACATGATTTGCATTCCTCAAAGCCCTGTGCTTTTAATTATTGTAATCACTAAAACCGATGCGATCAAATTTCTAGCGTTTTCATAAAATTAGTTATGGGGGGGGGGGTAATAAATATTTTAAAAAAATATTTCTACCATAAAAAAACATTTATAATAATTTCGATCATCTGTGAATAGTTCCTGAAAGTTTCATTAACATCCGATAATTATTTCTATTTTTGCACGATTTTTCAAATTAATGTGTGTCATACCAAAAAAACGTGCTAAAAATTGTCTGTTATTTACTAGTTCCGCTGACACAAATAGAAAAAAGGTTTTTTTAATCAAAATTTAGAATGTTCTAAAAAGAAGGAAAATTTTTTAAAAATAATTAAAAAAAAAAAAACTTTGGTCTTTCCTCTTAATAATAACATAAGCATTTAGACAATAAAATTTAGTTTTCGGCAAGGTTGGCATCTTTTTCATCAAGCTATTCTCTTTTTTTTTTTAGCGATTTCTTGGAGGTACCTAATTAAATATAATGTGATAAGGAATAAAGTCAGATTTAAAAAAATCCCTTAATTGCTTAAAATTACTGTTTCTGTTTTGCATATGATAAATAAATTTTACAGATATAGAGTTCAAAAGATCCAAATGAGATGTACATTTCTTTAAACAGTATAATTGAACCTTGTTTTGTCTTAATGACCTCATATAGCTAAGTGATAAAGAACAGCTGGATTGAGGGTGATTTCTCATGTTAAATGGAAGTCAGGTTCAATTCTTGTCAAGCAGCATATTTTCTTTAATGAGACTTTTGTTCTCTACAGCGGATGTGCAGATGGTGTAATGGATATTGACTTGAAATGAAGAAATCAAAGAGCCAGACTTTGAATTCATCTGGTTTGTTACATTCATTTACATGTAAATACTGTTGGGAAAACTTATGAAACCATCTCCTCCTCCTGGTTATGGGTTAAATAGTAGGACTTGTATCTGGAATAATCTTTATCCCCCCCCCCAAAATGTTAATGCAATTATTCACTTGCAAAAAAAAAAAAAAATTATTCTTACAGTCCAAAATAAGGCTTGATAAGCTGAAAGAAACAAATTTATTGAATTTTGATCTGCAAGCAGATGTTAATTTCACTTTTATTTTCTTCTTTTTAACTTTTTATTGGGGGGGGTTGTTGAATCACATATATATATATATATATATATGTGTGTGTGTGTTGGGGAAGATTAGTATAATGGTTATAGTTGTTCAGCAAAGTCCATTCATTTCTTTTTCACTTTGTATTAATTTCTTTGGAAAAGACATGAATCTGTGTTATTCCAGCTATGGGTTAAATATAAGAGCAGCTGTGCTCTCTTGCTTTGAGTGTCAGTCAGTTAAGAAGAGGGGAAATCTCTGAATTCAAAACTGAGGAAGGCTGTTTAGAGACTTCAAGGCACACTGTGCACTATTTTTCTGCTATCAGTTCTTTTGGAAAGTATGCCTGACTCTATGCAAGCCACAGCCACTATAACAAATCATCTGTGTGAGTAATCTAGTGGTTCAGGTCTAGATTCATGGAAGAGTCCACTTACATATAATAATTCTTTTTTTTTTTTTTTTTTTTTTTTTCTTGATAAGAGGTTCTTGGTTGGGTTGAGAATTTGAGACCACTTCTTTCTCTCTCTCTCTCACTCCCTCACACTCACACACACAGGTGGGGAACCTAAATTTTTTAAATTGTTGTAATATCAACACAAATAATTTATTCAATGTGGTTTGCATTATTTCAAATTCTGTCTTCAATATGACCTCAAATAGCTGTGCAATACTTAATCACAGCACTTAGACATCTTGGCCCACTACTCCTTGATGTCATCTTTGAAGGTATTGAGTTAGGATGGGAGTTTTTGGTAGAAGTCAAAATGCCCTATATCTATAGTCTAGTGGGTTCAGGTCCAGAAGTCTGTTGGCCAGAAATTAGCAAAGTTAGCTTGCAGAACTCCTGTACCTCCTTAGTTGTGCAGGTAAGAGCACAGTTATTCAAGATATTTGGCCTTGAGTTATGAAAAATCATGATGCCTTAGGATCTTGTAGCAGGAATGAGCACCCACTATTTTTTCAAGCTTGTAAAATAATCTTCCTTGTCATGATCTTTTTGATCTGTCATAATCTTTTCCCTAGCCATGACCCTCAAGGTGTTGTTGGCATTGACACTTGATTCTGCAATGTACTGTCATTTTGACAGTTCAAAACAGTTTATTTCTGAAGATTCTCATTAGAATATTTTAACAGTGAATTTGTTATTCTTGAGCTACCTCAGTATTTGTAAGCCATCTGCTCATCATGAACTCTGTGAGAGGTTTCTTGGCATTCTGCAGTATGTTTTAAGGCCCAGATCATCATGCACAGCCATTCTGATAGTTTTAATTACTGAGCTAAAAGTGGACCCTATCTTATATATGGATGTTATTAAGTCCTTTGTAATTTTGGTTGTAAAGTCATTCATGAAGTTTTTATTTCACTTTTTGCTGACCTCCATTACTGCATGGTTTCATCTGGGTGTGCCATTGCCCATGTTCATAGTCTTCTTGGCATTGTAAATAATAGTTTAGTTTTGATTTGTGTACAAAACAAGTCTGACATTCATTGCCATTTGTCCTTTTGTGATGATATTTTTGAAAAATAGGTATGTATTAATGGCTGATAGCATAATCTTTGTTTTGCATTTTGTATCAAATCATTTGATATAGTGGTTGGTGGGAAATTTTAGTTTAAATTTTACAGGTTGGTGAAAGACAGCTCTGATTTCAAAATAATTGTGTAAGGGTCTTTCATCACTAAAGTGTCATAAGTTCCTAGTTATTACTTGTAATTAGTTTAAGAATAGACTTGTTTGTTTCCACTGAGGTGAAATGTGTCACAGCTTTTTTTAAAATATAGAAACTCCACATGTAGATAGGAAGGACATACTGCAGACATCAGGGAATACTTTTGACAGTAACCTTTTTAGTGCAATCAAAAACAGGTTTCTTGAAATGAGATATATATATATAATTTTTGCAACAAATAGACATGGTTATGGTTCTATAATAATATTTAATAATAATTGATAAAAAAAAGCTGCTTATATTGAAAGTATTTAAATGATTCTAGGAGGTTTGTGGCGGAAGATTGATTTCTCTATAATTTTTCTATTAACAAATATTCTCATTCTTTAAGCTTACAGTTTGATCATTGTAGAATTTCCGGTACTTTTTTTTTTTATCTTTTCTATTTTTTTTTTTAATAAACTGACTATAGTTTTAACAAACTACAACTCTGAAATGACTAAACTCAAACTTAAATTCACTTTATTGGAATTATTTTTTATCTTCTAATATAAAAACTTCAGTCAAATTTAAAAGTCATCTGGAGTTTTGGATGAAAAGAATTCTGATAATGCTGAATTGGTCTTTTAAAGTTTTTGTCATGAAGAAAGTGTTTGTGATTAAATGAGAATTTCAAAGTTCTAAGTCAGCTGAGTTAAAAATAAATATATATAAACTATCAATTTGGTCTGATGTTATCTTACTAAATGTGAACATTGCATTTTAAGCAATGATTTTTGTTGACTCATCTGAAGTTTTTCAGTATAAATCTTTCATCTTCATGTTTCCAAGTTCTTACCAAAGATTGACTTTTTATTCTAACAGCTAATAACAGGCAAAACCTATCACCAAGACCTTATATAAATGGAGCTCTGGTCAAGATGTTGACATACATTTTTTTTCTTAAATTCCAGATTATGTTAATCTATTAACTGGTAGAAATTTATTTGCAGTTGGGCCCATGGAACTACAGAGATACACATTCTGTGGTCTGCAGTTGAGCCCATGGAACTAGAGAGAAATTTTGTTTGTAGTTGAACCCATGATGAAAATTCTTTGCATCCAATTAATGGTTTAATAAGAGATCAGTTTCAAAGCCAATTCTTCTCATTGTTAATAATGACAGTTCTGGTTTGAATGAATAAATTTAACTTTTCTTACATTGGAAGTGTTTTTTTTATTCTAATGCAAAAATGTGACCTTACTTTCAGAAAAATGTAAGTTCTTGGTAGATGCACAATTGTCTGTTAATATTTTGTCATTCATTTTTCCAACTTGTTTAAATCCCTTCATTATCTTCCAGTGACCATGCCCTCCCCAAAACAGTCAGTGCTGCAGAAGCCAAGGTAGGTTGATTTTCTCTTTCTACTTGTCTTTTAGTTTAAATAAAACATTGTCACAATTTTTTTTAAATTTGTTTATTTGCTTTAAAATTCAAAATTTGATTTTAATATTTGTATTTTTTTACAATTTTCATGGAATAATTTTTACTATTTTCAAACATTAAAAAAAGTCTTTATTGAACACTTAAAATGTTTTAAAACCATTTTAAAGTGAATATTTATTTTACTCTGATATATTAAAACTGATGTACTCATCTTTGTTTTAGTCATTATATTGCCTAACCATCTTTAGGTCCATACTGTATAATTGAGCCAATCAATATGTTCAAACTATAGTCAAATTGAATAAATTATTTTTTTATTCCAAATAGAAGAGATGCCTGAAGGTCAGAGAGTTCAGTGGCTGAAACATGACTATGATCACCAATACGAGAATACCAATTTGAATCTGTGTATAATAATAATAATTCCTCATCTCACTCGGAAAGAGCCAAAATATTGTGACTATAACAACCAAAATGAGGACATCAGTTCAAATAAATCAATAAATAATAAATACTCATCTCATAAATTCAAAATGAATATCTTCATAGTGTTTGTGATTTTATTATTTATGTATTTTTTAATTACAAACTCTTTTTATTTTCCTTATTTAAACTAGATATTTTTTATATTTATAACTGAGATATAGTTTTACATTTTTCTTAAATATTACATCATTAGACATGAAGAAACTGTTTTTAAGCATTTTTCTGTTTTAAATATTTTTTTTCTGAATAGCAATGAAAATGTAAAAGAAATTTTTCAAATACTCAGGAGGGTAAAAAGCACTGCTTAACCTCTGTCTATAAATGAGCAGGAAATTATTTTCTGTGTAGTATTGGATACAATGGATTAATTTTGATTTTACAATTTTTCTATTCTGTTAATAGTGCATTTTTCTTTTAATCCAAATTTTACAATTTTTTTTTTCTTTTCAGGCAAAGCAGCAAGAACTTGAACGATGCCAAAAATGGATTAAGATGACAAAGAGCTGGGACAAGTATTATGGCGGGGAAAAAGTAACTTTACTTTTTATATGGATTATTATGGATTCAACCTATTTGCAAAATTAGTTTTATTTAGACATAAGATTTTTTTTCTCTTACTTTGATAGAAACATTTTGTTCATGTTATAGATAGCTTGATAATTTTTTTTTTTTTTAATATGACAATATTTCTCAATTATCTCTTCAATTAAAATCATTAAATTCTTTTTCCTTAAAATTTCCTATAATTTAAAAAAAAAAAAACTAGAAATTTAATAAACTACTTCTTTAACTGAAAGCTTGCTGTTACCAAATAAAAAAAAATGTTTTATTTATTCTGTTTTTTGTTTATTATTGGAGGATTTTGAAAATTATTCAGAAATTGACTTTGTATCTGTTTCTCAAGTGAATGACCCACCTATTACCAGTTTTCTTAGTATGTCTAGTTAAATCATTCTACTTGGCAATCTATCTTTTCATTTCTTCCACTCTTTTTGAGGCATCCTAAACTTAAAGAAATAATTGTCAATTGATTAGAGAGAGAAAAAAATGTTCGCATGTTTCTCTGTATATAACATTTAAAGATTCTGTTACAAGTGATTGATTTTACTGTTGTTTTTATATAAAATGTGTGTATATATATATATATATATATATATATATATATATATATATATATATATATATAGCAACCTTACATATTGTGGCATATTATATAGTAATTATATGAAAAATGCCAGAAACGCTTTTTTTTCTTTTTTTTTTCCTTTTTAATGAATTTAAAGAGTGAAGTAGACAAGTTTGCATTTTGAAAAGATATTTAACTTGTTAGACTCACCAGAATCTATAACTATTGGTATATTCATGTATAATTGGAAAACATTTTGTTACGAATTAGAAGTCCACACACACACACACACACATGTGTGTATGTAAGTGTTAAACATAATGTATTTAGGCAACAGTCTTTCATTTTAAATGTTTTTGAGTTTTTTGTTGGTGCAGAATAAATCTAAAGTCTCAACATTCTCTGTTCATTCTATTTAATAGTTTATATATTTACTTTTAACAATTCTAAAACTATTTTAGATTAACAAAATAGGTTCCCAAAATTCCTTATGTACCAATTGGTTAATAAAATTAGAAGATACTTATAGCTAAGATTGTAATTGGTTATAATGGTTGGTATTTGTGTATGCTTGTGTGTGCACATACATCAGTATGTTTGTAGTTTAATCATTTAAAAAAAGAAAATATTTATTTTATTCAAAAATATTTATTTCAACATAATCTCATTCCTTGTCAATGCACTTAACCCAATGCTTTTTATTAATTTCATAGATCAAACATTATTATTCCTAAATATTTAAAATCAAAATTCAGCCTATGGGTCTCATTAATTTGCTCCTTATAGATAAGGGGAGTGCTGAAAAATTCTCAGCCTTTCCCATTTCAACTCTGACCAAAAACTAAATATCATATTTTATTTTTTGAAGGACTTGCTGGTTAAGCTGAGAATTTTTTCACATCTTTCCACTCACAATTCTATTTACTGTGTTTATACATGTCTAATGCCAGGAATTTTATATTGAAATTAAAAGCCAAGAGAGTTTCATGCTACAAACTTGCAATATTCTTTGTGATTGTAATCAATATATCATGTGCAGGCAAAATTTTCCAAAGCTAAATTTACTCTTCAATATTTCAGTAATACATTTTTTAAGCAGATATGAACCTTCCAAATTCAACTGATCTTATAGATTTTAGAAAATCTATGTTCTCTATATTGTCTTATCATAATTCTTCTTGTCCCTCCCTTAACACAATTCTTATGATCTGCCAATACCTCATAAATAATGGACTATTTGGTTTTGATCGCATAGAAAGATGGAAAAGGCATGTCAGAGGCACTACTTGATTTCAGTGAGAAAATGAAAGAAAGGGAAGATAAAAGTGTTTAATGTTATCTGCCAATACCTCATAGATACACTATTCTATTTTGATGAGTGGAAGGATAAAAAGACATATCAAAATTGCTACTTGGTTTCAAGAAAGAAAAAAAAGGAAGTTAGAAGTGTTTAACATCCATTTCAGTGAAATGGAAAAAGTTTCAAATCTTCATTTGTATCCTGTTACCTGATAAAAATAATGACCAGCATTCATATTTATGATTGTTATTGTAATATTTTGTTAAAGTTTTTAAGCTCAAATATTTAATGATGAGATAGGGGAATTTGTACGGATATTTCATAGAACTCACTATGAGCTTATTCAATCATTAACTTAAGAATTAAATTCATCACAGAATTCAAATAGGAAAATGATGAAATTTTTACAGGTATTTCTAGTCAGACTAGCAATAGGTGGGTGAATCAAATTCTGTTGTTTTTTTTTTTTTTTTTTTTTGTAACAATCTTGTGAATTCTGTATTTATTCATAGATTAGGTTATATATAATTCAATCACTTATTTCCAGGAGATAAAAATATTTTATTTTCTTGCATAAATGTGAAGAACCTCCCTTGACAACCCTGAAGCAAAACCCTTCTTGTGAGCTAATTTTCTAACCTAAAATAGCCCATGGCTTTGATAACTTGCTTTGCTGAATGTTTCTAGACAGTTGGGGCCTAATAAATAAAAAAAAAATTTAAAAAAAAAAAAGGGAAGAGCCTGGTATCTGAAGATCTATTTTACAGGCAGTACTTTCCCAAAAGAAATAAGGTTAGGCAAATACTTGGATGCCTGTAGCAAAAGCAAACAGAACTTTTAGAACACCTGTTAAGCAAAAACAAAAAAAAAAAGTGGGTAGCCTACACTAAAAAAAGACCATGTGTCATATTTATCTCTGAGGGGGTGACAAACCTTCTGAAAAGTAAAGATAAAGGATTATCCCATGAAAATAACAATAACTACTAGCTTTGTATATTAAGTAACTGTTCCTCAAACAAATACACATTGCTAAATATTCTAGCCATGCAGAAACAATCATATACAGAATAAGACATTACGACAGAGACTGCATCAGAGAAGGACCATTGAATAACACTGTTGTTGTGTTAAGTTGAAATTGTCAAAATATTGCAAGTTTGTAGCATGCAACTCTCTTGGCTTTTAATTTCAATATAAAATTCCTGGCATTAGACATGTATAAACACAGTAAATAGAATTGTGAGTGGAAAGATGTGAAAAAATTCTCAGCTTAACCAGCAAGTCCTTCAAAAAATAAAATATGATATTTAGTTTTTGGTCAGAGTTGAAATGGGAAAGGCTGAGAATTTTTCAGCACTCCCCTTATCTATAAGGAGCAAATTAATGAGACCCATAGGCTGAATTTTGATTTTAAATATTTAGGAATAATAATGTTTGATCTATGAAATTAATAAAAAGCATTGGGTTAAGTGCATTGACAAGGAATGAGATTATGTTGAAATAAATATTTTTGAATAAAATAAATATTTTCTTTTTTTAAATGATTAAACTACAAACATACTGATGTATGTGCACACACAAGCATACACAAATACCAACCATTATAACCAATTACAATCTTAGCTATAAGTATCTTCTAATTTTATTAACCAATTGGTACATAAGGAATTTTGGGAACCTATTTTGTTAATCTAAAATAGTTTTAGAATTGTTAAAAGTAAATATATAAACTATTAAATAGAATGAACAGAGAATGTTGAGACTTTAGATTTATTCTGCACCAACAAAAAACTCAAAAACATTTAAAATGAAAGACTGTTGCCTAAATACATTATGTTTAACACTTACATACACATACATGTGTGTGTGTGTGTGTGTGTGGACTTCTAATTCGTAACAAAATGTTTTCCAATTATACATGAATATACCAATAGTTATAGATTCTGGTGAGTCTAACAAGTTAAATATCTTTTCAAAATGCAAACTTGTCTACTTCACTCTTTAAATTCATTAAAGAGGAAAAAAAAAAGAAAAAAAAGCGTTTCTGGCATTTTTCATATAATTACTATATAATATGCCACAATATGTAAGGTTGCTATATATATATATATATATATATATATATATATATACACACACACATACACACATTTTATATAAAAACAGTAAAATCAATCACTTGTAACAGAATCTTTAAACAGAATTTTTCAGCACTCCCCTTGCCTATAAGGGCAAATTAATGAGACCCATAGGCTGAATTTTGATTTTAAATATTTATGAACTTGGATTGTAATTTTCATCTTAACATATTATAAAGGAAACATTTAGATCATAAAGTTTGAAGACATTGTCTGCCTGACAATATTAAGATATAAACAAAGTTAATTTGGAAGCATGGGGTAAAAAATGTTGGATTTAAAAACGATAAATATTTTATTTATAACTTTGAGAAGAGTTAACATTCCAAATTTTGTGTGGGCAATTGAATTCTGCCTTTGAACTGTTGTTACCTAAATGTTTCAATCAATCCATTCTTCGGCCTTTGTCAAGTGCTTAAATCCATAAGAAAAGAGGATTTCTGTCTGAATTTCTGAAGAGAGGCGATATCATTATTTACTCTATTTACATGTAGAGTATTGTTCTTATCTTTTCCTGTTATTTATCAAAATGTTTTACCTGCTGTCTACTTCAGCTTTCTTCAAGCGCCTATCAATCTGGATAAACTTCTGTTATGTTCGAAATTCCCTGAAGGCTACTGGAATTGAAAGTCACCTGATGAAGGCTAGAGAAAATAATGGCAAAGATGTGCCTCATCTCTAGAAATTCCAACACTTCACATTACATTAAAAAGAGGATTATTATAGGTTATCTTGAAGTATTTGTGGAAGAGAGTATTAAGAGATTGATTTTTTGCCTCTACTCATATTAAGCCAACTGCATCAGATTTTACTCTGTAAGGAATCAGAAATAAAAGCAAAGTTACTTAAATTTTGATTGAACTGTGTATATCAGTCAAATGAAACTCTTTAAAAATTGTCATATGGGTTAGGTTCTCTAATTTTTGTTTTAAAGCATCATAATTAATTTTTTTTTTTAATTCTGGATATTATTCCACAGGACTAGTTACTATCCTTAAAATACTTTTGTGGGTGTTGTAGTCAGATATTATTTCATTTCTTTTAGTTTCCTGAATTGTAAACAGCAGTGGATGCATTTCACAATAAAGGATTTGAACTCTTTTGAATACACAAGTCTTGTTTTTATTATTAGTTTCAAACTTTGATCTGAATAGTATTCAACATTATAATGAATCTAAAATGGCTTCCCATTAAATAGTTAAAATCATACATACACTCTGGAGATTATTAGTCTAATTATCATAAATGACTTTGTAAGTGCCAGGTCTTAGCCTGATTGGTTGCCTCAAGATTAGGCCATCAGGTCTGCTGCTAAATTATTGCATTCACTTTCTGGCTAATACATTAAACTATTTTGCATTTGTTCTTTTTTTAGTCCGAGTTAAATTTCTGTTTTGATGCAACAAGCCCATATTAAAACCAACAACTAGGAAATTAGTTTACAAAAGTTTGACAAGTACTTATTAATACATATAGCAGTTAACTCCTCTTTTAAGCAATTAACTCTCTCTCTTTAAAAAAATAATGACTTTGTATTGTTTCAGAAATGTATGTATGTCTGCACTCGCCTGTGGAGTATAGTCAGAACCTTGCAACACTAGCTGTTGTTGGTTTCTATAGCAAGTAGGTTTTTATAGGGGTGGAGTTGCTAGCTTCATGCTCAACATGTTTTGAAGTCACATGTCCTAGACTGACTACCAATCAAAGTTAACTTGGTCTATACTGCTATTAACTAATAGTGGGGACCGGGCAGGAGAGACAAATTCATACCTTTCCCAGGGTTGTGTAAAAGTGAATGCAATGACCTCAGCTGGGATTTGGGCTTGACATGCCAATCTTGTTCTATGGCAATATGCATCTGTTCTGTTTATATATATATATATATATATATATATATATATATATATATATATATATATATATATTAAATATCAATATTTAAACTTTTTTTTTTCTCTTTATAAATTTCTATACTCCTAAAATTATCTTTTGTGGATTAGTCACATTTTGTATTTTTTATAAAGAAATAAGTAACACCAATGTTAGTACATTCACTAAAATGTAGAAATTGAGGAAGAAGTAGAAACAAAAGCATACCTTTCTCAAAGGCATTATTACAAAAGTGAACATAACAGCCTAGATCAGAACTTGAACTCTGCTTGCCAATTTCACTTTCTGTGCTAATAACCTTTATGCTACCTGCACATACTTATGGATTTTACATTTGAAAAAGGCTGAAGAATGTATCAGTTGAAATATGGATAACATCAATAAAACAAAGAAAGGGTGATGTCAGTTGTCCAAGCAAAGTATATAATAAAATTGTCAAGATGGAAAATATCAACTATGGAACATCAAAGAAACTAAATGCACAGTAGGACGTGTCAAAATTTAAACAAATTATATCTAAAAAGTAGTAAGATTCATTGCTTGATCATATTGTTTGTTAGTACACAAAATATTTAGTAGAAGAAATAAGTAAAACTAAGTGGAAATATAGTGGAGCAACAATAAGGATGGTAATGGTTTTAAGGAAACATTTGGCATTCATTGAGTGAACAACCAATGCTTAAAAGCTGAAACCGTACTTCTCTGTATTTGGTTCAAATGCAATTAGAGCTTAAAATATGGTTATGATTATTATTTCATCACCTCCCCAATTGATATAATTCCTTGTATCACTAATTCCTATGTATTGGGTTGACTTGGTGATGGGGTGTATGATGTTGAAAGACCCAAAACTCCCTGATGAACCAAGTCAATTAACATCACTGACGACTCCATTTAGCACCTACTTAAGAGTATATATTTGAATATATAATTATCAGCATGAATCTCAGGCTTTTTTTTTTTTTTTTAAGTACTCATTTGTGATATAATAGGTTATAAACAATTAATTTAAAATGTCTCAGTTGATAGTCATTGCATTTAATACTTTTTGTTGAATTGTCTTCACCAAAATTTGTTTTCTTTTTATTTTCTCTTTAGATGAACCGCCGAATATACAAGGGCATCCCAGAAAGTGTACGTGGTGAAGTCTGGGGACGGCTTTTAGATATTAAAAAAGTCAAGTCTGAACAAGAAAAAATTTATCAGGTTTGTTGTGATATTCTTTGCTTTTACCTGAATCTGAACTTGAAGAGAACAATTTGAATTCTTAAGGTGTGTATGGCTCGGGGTGGGGGGTGGCGGTAAAATCAAACCTGTACTTACCACTTCAAGCCAAGCATGTCACCATTTTCTTGATTAGATAGAAATTGTGGCTGTATTTCCTTCCTTTTTTTTATAGAAGTGTGTACACTGCTGGTGAATTGGAAGTCACTTGGGATTGGACAATAAATTGCCAAGAAGAGTTGTATGGTGTGTACATTGGAAGATGGAAAAAATTGTATCTGATGGAAGGGACACAAGTTGATACCCGATCAGTATCGGCTGGGTCACTGCAGTGAGGGGGTATGATGTTGAAAGACCCGAAACCCCTAATGAACCTTGGCTTGAAACATCACTGTGTACTAAAGCATCCAATAGATGTATTTTATGAAATCACATGAGTTTTTAAAGGGATCTTTCTCTTATGATATTCTGTAATTCATATTTGTAACCTTTATGTATTATTCTCAAAGTTATTTTTCTTGTTCTGCTAGATTTATTGATGACTCTTTTTAAATTCTGTTATAAAGCACAAAAATGGTAAGTCATTAAGTAACTATAAAATTATTTTATAACCTTGCCCAGAAAAGGTGTGATGCAATTTTATTTTTTTATCTACTGGTTGTGAGTTCAATCCCTAGATCAAGTAGTGAAACAGTATATTCTTCTTTAGTAGGAATGAACAAGAACTTTCACTGGGATAAAAATAACATAATCAACACATAAGATACCCCCATAACTAAAATAAAGGACACCTGAAGATGGACACCATCTCCAACAATCAAAGATAAGAACAATAGTTTGAATAAACCAACGTAGATCGAATTTGTCATGCTATGGACTTTTCAGCATTATATATTTTTGTTCAGTGTTTGCTTTTATATAAAAATAATGTCGATAAAACTTTATGATATTTAATGATTAAGATCTGTTAACATTCCAGTCTTCATCAGATCCCATTAAATATACAACTATATTAGGTTATAGGTATCTGTTTCTATTAAAAAAAAAATAGACAGAAGTATACCAATTAGTTTTGCTTTTCCTCACTCAAAAACTCTGAGGACCTGTATGTGATGTAATAGGTAAATAAGTAGTGTAGCTGTGGCAATTATGGGAGGCCAGAAAAATGGTTTACTATCTTCAAAGTAGCAACTGCTGTTATATATATATATATATATATATATATATATATATGTATGCAATAGTCACATAAGTATACCCATAATATATATGAATTTTGTACAAATGTCAGCAGCATGTGAATATTGTGGATACCCACAGATAATGCAAGAATGGAAGTGCTGGTGACAAACAAGGATGGTAATCAGCCAATGAAGGGGGAGGGCATTAGATCATATCTCAGTTCAACACTGGTGCTGCTCAACCCATTAGTCAGATTGCTGTACAATGTATACAATGTTTTCTAGTTGTTGACCAACAATAGTATACTTATTAATATGGCATTGATTACTGTACCTTACTTAGGACAGAAGACTTCACCATTGAACTATGGAGGACTGGTATGGTCACCCAGTCAGGCTAGTGACATTTCCAGCTCTAACATGTACCCTGAATCCATCATAAAACTTGTTCAGTAATATCTAAATTGTCAGCTAAATACAACTGCTTTCTCATATCAATAGTTGAAACTGACACCAAGTGAATGAAACATCTAGGTCTTAGTGAGTGCCATCCTTCTTTGAAACTTGTGGGCTGGTGCTACATAATCACAAAGACCTTTATGAAGTAACAGAAACCAAATCGATTGAAGACTTTCAACAGCAGCAGCAACAACAACTAAAATGGATATCACATGTAACCTGGTGAGAACTTGTGAGCTGGTACTACATAATCACAAAGACCTTTATGAAATAACAAACCAAATCGATTGAGGACTTTCAACAACAACTAAAATGGATATCACATGTAACCTGGTGAGAAAATAATATCATCAAGATGTTGAAATTTCACACTACTTCAAATGTTTAGGAAGGAATCCCCCATCAATACTGGAAAGAGTGATAATAGTAGACTTATTTTCCTGAAGAATTGTTTTAAGAGAAAGATCTTATAAATTTCAACTGATGGTAGCACTACCTGCTCAGTCAATAAATTTCGGATGTTTCCATATAAGGAAACTTCTAATATGATCATTACCATTGATCAGGTGGTTGAATTCATGTGGATCCAGCCTGTCAGTAGGGTGTTATGTTGGCTAGTGCTGGTTCTGTAATGATGTGGGGTTTGTATTTTCTTTGAGTTCACAAGAACCACGAGTGAAACTGCAGTCTATCTTGATAAGTGTGGTGTATAGAGATCATGTTTTGGACTACTGCACTATTTTATGCTTGTTATGTTTCCTAGTAATAATGGCTTGTTCTAGCAAAATGATGCAAACTCCTCATTGTGTACAGGTGACACTTATTCCAGGATCACTTGGCCAATTTAAACCCCATTGAGTATGCATGGGATATGGTGCAGGCATCACCAAAATCTTTGCAATCACATCCCCCAGAAATGCAACTCAATTTTTGCACAATCCTGAAACATATCCACACAACTTCAGCACGTCATTGACTCCATGGCACATCACTTTGACATAGTTACTTAAAGTGAAGGGAGGCACTGGATGTTATTCAGTGGCTGTCTTAATTTATTTGGAATTTCAGTTTATGATCATAAATTATTAGTGATTCATTTTAGGTGTAGTCTAACAGAGTTAATTAAGTGAAATTTTCCGAATAACTTAAGAAAAAAAAAAAAAAAATTTTATTCAAAAATGGCTTTTTGTTTGTATTTACATTTATTGTATATCTCCTACTGTTATATTTGCTTCACTAATTTACAATTTACTCTCCTCACTGCTGTTTATTTAGTGACAGTCCTCTTGTTATTATTTTGTCTTTTTATTTAGAGAAAATTCTTAATGACTGTTGTGGGGAAAGGAAAAGAAATAAAAACAAACTTGAGTTTTACTATAAAAATATTATTTTTGCCTGGAATAAAATACAATCTTCCTAATCTTTCTAAATAATCTACGTAAAGCAATAAAACTTTTTGAACAAAAAACAAATAAAGAGAAGTAATATAAACTTTTAAAAACTGCCATATTTAAATTTAAGATTTGTTGGTTTAGTTTAAATCCTGTTAAACCAAATTAAGATCTTTCCCCTGTTTTTCTGTTAAAGTTTTCCTATATTTAATTTTAATGCCATGTCCTTCAGACACAAGCGATAATGGTTCTCCACATCTTCCTTCTCTTTATCTACATTTTTTTTTTTTTTTTTTTTTTCTTGTTGCCTTCTCCAGATTTTTTTAATTCAAAGTAATCCTTCTAGACTGATTGCCCCTCAAAGGCTAGAGAGCTTAGTCTACTCTACTATTTAACCCATAGCTGAAGGGAGAAGAAATGCATTCATGTCTTGCTCAAGGGTAATATTACAAAAGTGAATGCAAAAGGCTAGGTTGGAACTGGAACTTGCCAATTGTATTTTTCACTCTGTTAACCATTACATTACCAACACATACCTATTATTTATATAAATATTTTACAAACATATTTTATCAATCCCAAGAATATAGAATTTGGAAATTTGTCCTTGTATTCTCTTTATCCTTTGTTTATTGTAATTGATTTCCAGTCACTATTTTTAGTGTTCCATTCTGGAGCATTTCACTTGTAGTTAAATAGTAAAAGAAACAAATCTTATCTGTGCATTCTTCCACCAGACAGAAATCCCTCAACAAGTGCATGCAATGAATCACCTAAAAAGCAATTTCTGTTTATTTTAACTCAATCTAGATTTTAACATGAAATATTATTTAGTTCTCATGACCAAGGAAAAGGAAAACAATTTTGATACACTGTGAAACCACAAACAAATCATTTTTTTTTTTTTTTTTTTTTCAGTCCATTGCCCTTTTGGGCTGAACCACATTCTTTTTCCAAGTATTCAGCAATCATTTGAAAAAGTGGTTGAAATATTTTGATATATGTAGCAAAGATGGAAATGCTAAAAAGTTGAAGTTTTTATTTAATTAATACAATATTGATTGTATTTCTTTTTTCCTTCAGAAAATGAAAATGCGGGCAAGAAAAATTTCGCCTTATATCAAGCAAATTGACCTGGACGTGAATCGAACCTACCGCAATAATATCATGTTTAGGGACAGATATGGAGTAAAGTATGTTTAAATGTTTATACCTTCTCTCTTCTGTTAATCTTTCTGGAAAAAAAACTTTAAAAAAAAAAAAAAAAGGACTCTTTGTAATGTCTTCCACTTGTTATCTTCCCTATTGTATATTTTCACAGATTTCCATTTTTGTATTTAATGTTATTAAAATTGTTTAATAAAATTATATCAAGGATTATATTGATTTTTAGAGAAGAAAAAGTATGAGGCAACCCTTTTCAACCAGGGTTCTGTGGGACTCAAGATTTTCATGAGAGGAATAAAAATGTAATAGAATTTTGACATATTTAGCCATGTAGACTTTCCTGTAGAGTAAAGGACTTTAATCTCATCATGTTGTTGCAGTTTCCATTGCAAGGAGGTTTTTTTTGGGTGGAGTTAATAACTCCACATACATACATACACACACACACACATACATATATATATATATATATATATATATATATATATATATATATATATATAAGGAACAAATAGGAAACAACCAAGTCTGGGGATGCAATCACACCCACAACATGTGAAACTTTTTTTTGGGAACCAAGCCTTGTGAGTGAAATTGGATAGACAGAACTATTTGGGAGCCATCAATGGTTGTGGTAGCACAAAACCACAAGCCATTGTGACCGAGGGTTTGAGTGTACTGGCCTTGTTCGGACTGTTGATCACGTCAAATAATGCAGTCTCTCCCAGAAACTAACTACAGACTGCCCAGCATAGTTGCAGTATAAAGCACAGGTGAATTCTGTGGATGTTAAACAAACATACCTGAGCAGGCATTAGCTAGCCGCCACAATGCCCAGTCATCATATATATATATATATATATATATATATATATATATATATATGATATGATATATATATATGATATGACAAATGCTGGTTATAATTTTATTTCAAATGCTGAAGATGTAGAGATGCTTTAGCTCTGAATTTGTTTTTAAAATTTTAACATTTGGCTTTCTATTGCTTTTGTTTTTAGTTTTATTTCTATCATTTTTAAAACGTGTCACATTGTAATATCAGAAGTTGTGTTAGGAAAGGAGGTATGATTAGGATCCTGGATGTAAATTTACTGTTGAAGATTCCAAAATTAATGAATTTTCTGTACATTTTTACACTAATAAATTACTTTCTTCTTTAATTAAAATTGAATTCTTTAAGTCATAATTATGATGAATAACTAATGCATTGAGTGTATTCTTTTGTAAAAGATCCTTTTTATATTCAGGTTTTATTTAAATTTTTAAATGTTTCGCTATTTATTTCTTGGGATATTTTTTACAAATTCTATTTTTGCAAATTCTTACTTCAGGTTTAATGTTACTTTGTTTTAATTAAATTTTATTGTTTTTTAAGTATTTATGACAAATTCTTTTCAATGTACAATGTTTAATGAAGATGAAGTTAGTGATGATACTGTTCAAGAAATTGTTCATGAGGATTCCAGAATCATTCAAATATGAATGACACTTAGACAGTAGTGATGAGCTGAACTTATGCTGAATCTAATTCACCTAATGTATAAGTTTGTATTAAGATTACTTTTTTTTTTTTTTTTTTTTTTTTTTTAAATCAATTCACCCTAAGCAAGGTGATAATGCCATTAAGACACAAGAAGCTATTGGGAGTGAAAGAGAATGAAAAGACTTTAGAAGGAATTGGAAATTCAATCCTAAAGAAACACAAGACAAACCTCTACTCTTGTTCAAAAGATCAGGCAGGAGTGTGAACTGTACAATAGGAAAACCTATCTATTCCTATTGAGGTAAAATAAATAAATAGTAAATTTCATTTTTGGCAGAAATGTTAGAAGTATAGAATTGAAGTAAACTTTAGAAAACAATGGAGGAAATCATTGTTCATCCTTAGTCAAAGATGACTGATATCACCTGAAGTTACGATTTGTGCTTGATTTGAATTGTAGTGAAGGAGTGTGCATCATCAGCCTCACACTCTTATTCCTGTTTGAATCCAGGAGCAAGACTACACAAATAGAAAAGGTTTAAAATAAGGACATCTGAAAACAGACTGGAACGTACTGGATTTGAATAATCAAGGTATCCACTTTATACTCTTGATTGCCTACTTGCGGCTGGTTTGGAATCGGTTGTCCTCTTTCTAGTTGCTAGCCAAGGTTAAAGAACCCAGTCCATCACGTTATTTTATCTACAGCTGGAGATGGATCTTACCCTTTTCTCAAGGGCATTTATGTGGACACAAACTTGTCTTAGCCAAAGTTGGAACTCTGTTTCCTTCCTCCTATACATAACTATTAGGCCACCCACACCGCCATGTGTATCTCTTCTTCTTTTTTCTTTTTTTTTTTTAATATACACACACATTAGGGAAATAGGTCCCTTATGAAATAAAATGAGAAAAGTTATAAATTGTTAAACATTCATGGCCAAATTTTGTCTTCTCACAGAAAAACTATGATGATCAATAATTGACTTGAACTTTTGTGTATAGGAAATTTGGCTGCTAATTGTATTGAATATTCTTTTGTGCAAAGATGTTTGAACTTACAATGCTGTTCTCAAGATGACAGATGTTTTGATATGAGGCAGCTGGGTAATAGGTAGCTTTTAGAAAAGACCTCATGTTAATCATTTACAACCACCAAAATTTATTCTACAAAAACTACTAATCAACTTTGCTTAATTGTTAATGTTGATTATAGGTTGTTAAAAATAATGAAAGGTATGGAAGTAGTAATCTGGTATTTATTTTATAGCAGAATATTTCTGTTTATATTGCAAATTGTCTATAGCCATAGTTTTCTTAACCTTTAACACACTGTGTTATTCACAGCATTACTCCTTCACCCCACCCCAAAAATTCTTGTCTTTCAACTGCAGTAGCTCTTGGTTGTTTATATAAAAGCATTTATCCTATCACAACAGGTAACTCCAGTTGTTTATGGAAAAAAAAAAATTACCTACCACAACAGGTAACTCCAGTTGAACTATACCGTGCTTGAATTTTGCATCTGTTTTGTCATGTCATGACAAATGTTTTTTATCAGTGAATGAAGTTGTCTACAGAATTCTAAAAGGTTAATGTCTGTTTTATTCTTTTTCTGATGTTTTTTTTTTTTTTGTTGTTGTAATCTTTATTTCATTTAAATTTATTTTTTTTTATAACCAATTTCAGACAACAAGCATTATTTAATGTACTTTCTGCTTACTCAATGTACAACACAGAAGTCGGATATTGCCAAGGCATGAGTGAGATTGCTGCTCTATTACTTATGTATCTTAATGAAGAGGTAGGTATACACTTTTATTTATTTTTTTTCATCAGTTTCTCTTCTAGAAAATAGCTTAGAAAAGCACATCTTTCAAGTCTTGTGCATACTATTGAACTCTCTGTTGCTTTTGTTTTGTACCATAGCATTTCAGGCAGTCCATTCAACAGGTGTTTAATCCATGATAAAAGAGAGGGGGATCTCTTGTAGAAAACAGTTGGTGGGTGTGGAAATAATGGCAAATATCCCAAAGAATTCTACACTTTCTTTATGTATTGTACACTGGCATAAAACTAAAAAATGGATCAGCCAAAACATTGTGGTAACAACAGAAATGAGTTCAGTAGTCCAAACAACATGGAATAATGTGTGACTATGATACTATTAGAAGTTTGAAATATTTAGTTTTCATGTTGATAATTATAATAAAATTATGCTGATTGGTCTGGCTTTGGTTTTTCAGAAGCTCCTTTTAAGAACCTATTCAGTTCTGGTTTTGTTTGTTGTTCAGAGTTTAAAGTATTGGTTGTTGTGCCGATTGTACTCTCAATGTTTTAAAAACTAACAAGCTTCCATTTCAGTGACAAAGGTATTTTTTTTTTTTTTTTTATTGCATTTTTTCCTGTCATTACATAAGCATCATTAAATTGTATATTGGAAACAACAAAAACTAGTGTGAAGAGTTTTTGTTTCTTAGTTGTGCTGTTTGCTAATGACCATTGAAGAGTAGAATAGTTGCAATTGAAAGCAACTGAAATTAAGATGAAAGAAATAATTAGTAAAAAAAAATTAATAGGCGACAATACACCATCTAATAAGAATTCAATATATTAATTTACTGTAGTTGATATTTTATTGTACTTCACCAGCTGAAAAATCCCCTCCCTATTCAAAATGGTTTATGTACAACAATGAAAATCTGTGTAATAGAATTGATTAAAATAAATTTTAATTATTATAAATAACAATGCACAATGAGAAAATTTAGATAGCATAATGAAAAAAGAACACAAATCTAATGTCCCAATTGAAATGCCTTTATCATATAAAATTTATTTAATTTCATCCCCCCCCCCAAAAAAGAGCAAAGTATTGTGCACATTGCTGTTTTAATTAAAAAAAAAAAAAATAATTTTTATTAGTGAAAATAGAAATTCATCAAGTTGTTTGCCCATCCATAATCCTTTTTTTTTTTTTTTTTTTTTTTTTATATCTGGCTTGACTAAAGATTGATTTTTGATGCATCAATCTCTAGGTAAATTAGTTCAAAACATGTTTCTATTAAATTTGATTTGAGTACCGTTATCTAAAAATAGATTTTGTGTGTTTATATATATATATATATATATATATATATATATATATATATATATATATATATATATAAAATGTCATTTTTCAGGAGTTGTATTTTAATAAATATTTACCTCTTTTACAAAATATGAAAAATGCATGGTTTCCATGAGACTTCTATAAATAATTTGAATCTTGTGAACTTAAAAAAAAAAATTCTCAAACTCACTGTTTCCCCTGGAGACAACTTTTATTTTTAGTAACTAATATGATGCCTAATTATTTGAAAAGACATTATAAATCAATTCTTCCTCATAAAATTTGTTACAAAAGAGGAAGGATTATGAAAGAAACTTTACAATAAATTTATCTGTATTTATTTTTTTTAAATATTTTCTTTAAACTGTATTTTCTAATGTAGGTAATATGGTAAAGACAGCCATATTCATTTTTCCTTTTTAACTTGATTCTTTGAGATAAAAAAATGAAAGAATTCTTGTATTTAGATTCTCATGCCAAGTATCTACTGTACTTTCTAGTAATTACTTTGTATATGAAAGTTCCCCACCACCACCAAATACTATTCATTGATCACCATATTAATGCAGCCATATCAAGACTGACAATAGGTGTAACAACTCTATACTATTATTACTGCTTAGGAAGTTAGTTATGGGAGAGTGGTTTCACAAAGTGCTCATTCACTCATTTTAACCTTCATGGTATGTCAGTGATGACATTTTTGTGAAGATATCTGCTGATAAGACATTGCAGGAAGATTTGGAATCATGCCTTTTCCTTGTAAGTATGAGATAGCACAAATTATCTGCACAAAAATAGAAATAGTAAACAGTTCTAAATTCATCTGCTTATCTTCAAATTCACACTAATGCCTTTGGGGAAAGGCATGAATCCATGTCACTACATTCTGGCCCATCAGATATCGATATTGTGAGAAAATCTATCGCAGACATGTCACAATTGTTGTAAAAGTGTTGGTGAGTGGGCAAATGAGTTTCCTCAAAAATAAAATTGCAAAATTTGTTTCTTTAATCGAGTTTTATTTTCTCTCCTAACAGTAATATTTATTACATAAAATTGTGAAAGTCTTGGCAGTGATATTAGTATAATCATCTTAAATCTTTAATTTTTGCTTTCAACTCACAATGAAGTAATTGTACATAAAGTAGTCCAGTTCTATTAGTAATTCTTAATTACTCAACACTGACAGTTCCCTTTTTCTTTCTTTTTCTTTTTTTGCATTCACATTTGTCAGTGATGCTTGCCTTAATTCTTCACCATTGGCAATTTCTTTTCTGATTTTCAATGAAAAATACAAATTGAGCACTGAAACTTGCTAAAAACAAATTTTAGGTAAAACAAAACTTGTAAAATTTGGTGTTAAATTCTTCCACCATTGCAGGAAAAAAAAAACCTTTAATTTGTTAGTACAGGAAATGACTACCACTCTACAGACTAATAGTCAAGTCAATCAGTGATAACAAAATTTGAAACCTTACCAAAGGTTTAAATACAGATAATGCTTAAAATACAGTTGTGATTCTTTCATGTTTTTTTCCTTATCAACTGCCAGAATTTGCTGTGTTTTTACAGATGTAACCATTTGAAGATTTTCACATATGTGATGAATCCTACTTGTAATATTATTGATTAGACAAAATAATATTTAAATACTGCTTACAGATTGTAAGTTCAAGTTCAAAAGTTTTGTTTATGGAAACGATCTTGGTTTTCGCTTCTGACTGCAACAATTTAATTTCTGTTTTTCTTTTGTTTTTAATTGCAGGATGCTTTCTGGGGCCTTTCTCAGTTGTTGACCGATAAAAAACATGGAATGCATGGTATACCTCTTTTTTTTTTCTTTTCTTAACTTCTATATAAGTATATGTAGGTACATTAGTAAGTTCATATCCTAATGATGAAAAGTATTTATTTTTGCCCAGATACGTTGATATCACCTTTGATCAATTAATCCAGTACAAAAGACTATTTGAGTTACTTCTCTTGTTGCTTTTAATGGTAAAATAACAATCGTATATTCTAATGTCAAATGTTTGTTATATTTATCAAATTTTCCATACAATTCTTTTCCTAATATATTTTTTTTCCTTTGTAAACCATAACAATATGCAAGGAATTTTTGTTTCATCCTCATCTGTGTTTACACAAAATTTTGATCCAATTATCCAGTGTCTTTTTTTTTTTTTTTTTTTTTTTTTTTTTTTTTTAATTATTTTTATGAAAATTATTTAATTATGATTAACATATATTAAAATATTTTTCTTGGTTTCTTCTACAGCAAAATGGTTGTGCTTATATTGCATAGCAAAATGCAGTAGCCAATATATACAATAAATTTTTTACTGAAACCACTTCATAATTATTTGGGAAAGATTGAACTGGAGTATTTTGCAAGTCTAATAAACTAAACGAAAAAAACCCCAAAAACTTTACATTTAATGAATACATATGTTTGAGTAGACATTTGCACAGACCGGTAGTTATAAATTTACACTGTATAAAAAAAAAATGTCTACTCACATGTATATCTAGTAAATATAATGTTTAAAGTAATATCAAATAATGTCAGATTATAAATAAAATCCATGAATTTCTAGGAAATTGTAAAGGAAAAAAAAAGTTGTCTTAGTGAATGAAAAAGCTTTAAAAATTACACATGTATGCAAAGCAATAAAAACAAATTATTAAAGATAAAATGTTAAAAAGATTTTGGAAGAAACAATTTTAAACAGGATGTTGCAACTGAACAAATGAATAGACACTTGTTACTTTATCATGATCATAGAAGTAGGCAAAATATAAATTCAGCTAAAAATAAAATCTGTAACACCACATTTGTATTCTAATGTTTTTTATCAAGGAAGTCAGTTTAGATGGGAAAATTTTACAGATGTACATATATAAATAATGTTATTAAAGAAGTTCAATGCTAAAATGCTTTCACTTAGCAAAGATACAAAAAACGTGGAAGTCATAAGTTACATTCACTACTGAAATTTCATGGTTTTTTTTTTTTTTTTTTTTTTTTTAAACAAATATCTGGCAAGCAGTGAAAAGGTGGTGAGATGCTCTCCAAAGTTTCTCTGACAATTTATAGAACTTAATTTGTAAGTCTTAGTACCTTCCTTCTTCTGACCTTGTGGACTGGTGCTACAGAATCACAAATAACAGAAACCACATCACTGAAAAAGACTTTCAACAGCATCAATAACTAAAATGAATATCATATGTAACTCAGAGAAAATGATGACATAATCAAGATGTTGACATTCCACACTACTTCAAATAAAAGGTTAAGGAAACTTCTCATCAATACTGGAAAGAGCAATAACAGTTACTGGACTTGAGAAATCAATTTTCCTGAAAAATTGTTTTAATAGAAAGATTTTGTATATTTCAGCTGACAGTAGCACTGGCTGCTCAATCAATGAATGCCAAGATGTTCCCTTATGACGAAATGGCTAATATTACCATTACAACTGTTAAGCGTTAAGTTCAGAGATGTTTGTTTGTGTGTTGTTTGTTTTTTTTCCCAGCTAATTCAATTTTTTATGCAGTAAGGAAGTCGTGATTGGTGGTGGAAATAACTGAGAAGTATTTGGTGATGACCATTGGCTACCCAAGATGGAATTAGAATTTTTTGATTTGGCAGCCGATAACAAACGGGACAGTCACTGAGTTGGCTTGTGGGCCCCACCAGAATAAAAGCTTGTAGATAGTATAAATTAACTTTCTTTGAGAATTGTTTGGCAGTCATTGGTGTATTGGTGATTGTCAGTGTGTTGAAAAGCCTACTATTAGTAATTTTCGACTGAATTTATTGAGTGGTGAAGTTATCATTTAAGAGAATTTGCAAGTCATCATTGTATTGCTTGTCCAATTTTACAAATCATTCATGAATATGTATCACTACCAACCAAACCATTTTCATTGACTTTTTTCACTGTATCTTTGTTTCTATTGTTGTCTTGGCAAATGAAAGTCATTGTCATACGCATATTTGGTTTACTGTTAATTTTCTTTCTCAGATCAGGATAAATTAACTCTTAAAACCACTTTTTAGCTATCCATTCAACCTTTAGTTAAAGGCAGGGGCAGTGGGAACTTTGTACATGCACAAGCATCTAATAATTGTTGCTGTGCATATCATTTATTACAAGAATTTTACAAATATATATATATATATATATATATATATATTGTAAAAATAATAATTCAAAGAATAAATCAATAAAGTTAATGTAATTAATGGCGAACTCACTTCACTAACAGATTAAGAAGGCATTAACTCACTGACCATTTGCTGAACACAATCCTTGTTTTTATTAATTGTACAATGGAGTAGATGTTCGGGCCATATTGCTTATAAGTACTTTCAGTAAAAACATTTATCATCCTAAGGCATAGATGTTATTTTTTTTTTCTCAATTTCAGGTAATTTTTGTAAAATTTGAAAATGAATGTGATACTTGTTGAAAGATGTTTTATTAAAAAAATGTGTGCTATTACTAACAGTTATGAATTTTTTTGAACATGCAGTAATGCAATGCTAGATTTTTGAATATTGTAGTAATATTTTTTACCAAAAGTACTTGCAAGCAATATGGATTGAACATCTAATCTATTGTACAATTAATAAAAACAAGGATTGTGTTGTTCAATGAGTGGTCAGTGAGTTATGCCTTCTTAATCTGTTAGTGAAGTGAGTTCGTCATTAATTACATTAACTTTATTGATTTATTCTTTGAATGACTATTTTACAATATTAATTAAGCTGCATTATTTAATTATATATATAAATGAGAGCAAGTATTGTTCACCCGATACAAGGCTGAAGAGTAGTCATTCAATATAGTAGGTTACTGAATGAGTTTGTTGTAAGGGCATAGAGAGAGAAGGTAAGGAGTGTATATTATGAGGATATGTAGGATAGATAACTATTGACTGGAGACTTGAAGAGATTAAAATTGTAGTGGTTGGGAAAGCATCCGCTTGGCTGTCTGTTCTACAAAGTGACACTTCTAGTGAAGAAGCTGTTTGAGTGAAAGTTCCTCCTTACAAAAGTTATATGAATGGAATGAGGATGAGTTGACTATATACATGGCATGGTGGGTCCTAGCTATGAAGGTCTGAACTGATGGAACTAATGCATGTAGTTTGTCTGAACTTTTGAACACAAAAGTCATTGATTGTATAATAAAAAAAAAAAAAAAAAAAAGACGTTTCTTTGCTTTCTTGAGAATAGACAAAATTTTAATATTTGATAAATGTAATTATACACATCTTTTTTAAAATTCCTGTTTTTAAAGTTTATATATATATATATATATATATATATATATATATATATATATAATGTGTGTTTGCATTGTGGTGTAATGGATACAGAACGAGGCGCCGAGGTCGTAACATTCACTTACATGCAAATACCCATCTCTTCCCCCTCCAGCTATGGGTTAAATAGCAGGGAACAGGTTCTATAGCCTTGGTTGGCAGCCAATCTACTACAGAAAGAATTGGCAACCTACTGTAGGAAAATCTTTTAAACACTCTGTTCCAGCATGTATTGAGCCTCATAAAATTATCATGAGAATAATATTGATGCAGTCTGCAACAATGCAGAGTAAGCATTTTTTTTTTTTTGTGTGTATATATGTATATATATATATATATATATATATATATATATGACAATTTTACATATTCTATTTTACATATTTTGCCAATGACTCTGCACCATCAAAAAAATATTGGTGAAACATGAAAATAGAGCTTTTCCAAAATTGCCTCATGGCATCTGCATAAACATTAAATACTTCATCTTCACTTATAAATGCAAGTGAATATTTTGGAAAAAGAAAGAAAAAATACAGTTGTGTACCATCAAATATTTGAATATATATATAGACAATTATTTTGATATCAAAATAATAGCTTGTAATACAATTTGTTTTGTTTTATTTCTGCTATGATCATCTAATTTTTTTTTTTTTATCTATTTTTTTCAGGACTCTTCATGCCTGGTTTTCCCAAGCTTTTGCGGTTTTTAGATCATCATGATACAATTCTTAGGAAATATTTGGGCAAAGTTCGGAAACACCTGGTAAACATTTAATGTTATTTGTTTGTTTTTTGGGGTGGGGTTCCATCAACTATATTATAGAAATTCTTATGTGATGTTTTCATTGTTTTTGCATTAAATTTTTCTTTAAAAAATGTGATTATTAATGGGATTTCCTCTTTGATACTTGATTGCTGTTGTAATGTTTATTCACTTTGGAGATATCTTTATTATAACACAAATTACTTTTCAAAATTTGATCTATCTTAATTATTGTATTATTTTTCAGATAAAAATTTCACAAAAGCCATTGATTGACAAATGACTGCTCTGTGGAGATAGTGTTGAAATAGATTTACTTAATTGTCCTCAAATAATGTCAGTTAAATGATAAATAGTCGAAAAGCATATTTAGTGACATTTTGGGTCATGATCATTTTTGTTATATTCTTCACACCCACCTCTCAAAAATTAGGAGATATATATATAAGTTTTGGTTCATTTGTAGAATGATCAGCTTTTTTGTTTTTGTTTTTGTTTTTTTATATTTAATGATTAATTTTAATCTATGCCTAAATATAGTTACTAAAAATGACCCCCCCCTCCCAAAAAAAAACAAAATGATTTATTTTGTCCATAAACCCTAACTCTAAATCAATAAAGAGCATATTGAAATAACTCCAGTATTTCATCTAAAAATAATTTATTTAAACAATAAAACAAAATTTCTTCCTGACAAACATTTTCCTGTTTAAAAAAAAAAAAAAGTGTTCTATGTGAATTATTTTAAGTATTTCTATTCCTTGATGGAATGAAGGTTTAAATGTTCTGGATATTTGGGTTTTCTCTGACAATAAAACATGTTAGTCAATGTGAAAGACTTACTTTGTACCATACTTGTCACAAAATACCCAGTTTGAAAACACTGTCTAAAAGCAAGAAAAATAAAAAAAAAACTGCTTTGTCAACATTTGAATAATTTTACTCAAAACTAACAAATTTGTGGAGGAAATGTAGGTCTTAGCAGATAAAAATATTTAGGAATTTTTTTCTTGCAAAAATGGCAATGCTAGATGAACCAAACTTGGAACAAAAATGTGCACACAAGTGTTTCCAATTGCAACTCTCAGATTAAGTAAACAATCAATGTGGATCAGAAATTAAGGATAAGCTTCTGGCAAGATTTGAACACATGTTCTTTCTCTTTAAAGGATAATCTGAGAGTTGCAATAATAAAATGAAAGAAATGTGAATCAAAAATCATTTATATTTCTTTTTATTATTATTATTATGATGATGGTGGTGTTGTTTTGATGGTGATATAATAATAATAATGATGATGATGTGTATAAAAATGTGTGTGTAGGGGTCTTTTGAATATTAAACAAAACTAATTTCAAAATCTGAAACACTATTCATTAATAATGTCAGAAATGAATAGTAATTTTTTTCTATATTTTTACTTTTAGGTAAAGCAGGAAGTACATCCATCACTTTACTCCATCAAATGGTTTCTACAATGTTTTCTTGACCGAGTAAGTGCCTCTGATTTCAGTTATTTTCTTTTGTTTTCAGTTTAACAACTCTTTTTGATTCTTTTGTATTTTTTTTCATAACATTTGAAGCTGGAGAAATTAGCTGTCATTCAGTTTTGATGCATCGTGAAAGAATAATTTAGTTTATAACATCATGTTAAATTGAATACATTGAAAGAATGTGGCTTAAATTTCTTTTTCTTAATATGCATGTACAATGTATACTACTAGTTCTTAAAATATAATTTATTTCGGATTTATTAAGTAAAAATTATTTTCTCCACCTACTTTATTTTTTTTATTTATTTTTTAAACTAAATTTAATTTATAGAAGTT